GTATTTTTATGATAAGATACTTGTACCTTTACTCAAGTATCACTTTGAGGTACTTTATACAACACTGCATATCATGCTTCTAAATCCTTCCTTTTCACATTTAAATCATTCAGTTCAGTCTTTATAAAGTGGAACTATAATGATTTGATCTGAATTTCTCCTTATTCTCACTTTACCAGCTTCTCTTTCACTACTTTTCTGCTGTTTGTCTCAAAGCAGCTCGTTTTGTTACTGTTCCTTTAAGACACTTCAAGCCCCGCCCCCTCCTGCTTCCAGACCAGTGGACCCGTCCTTATTATGAAGTTACATCACATATACTTTTTACGTTATGGTTCAGAAAACATCATAAAAATAGAAACAACTGATAAATCTGACCCAAACAGAATATAAAGATATCTCTGCAGCACCAGGAGAGACTAAATTCAACCTTTCTGCCTCGTAGAGACTCAAAGTCCACAACAAAATGTTTTTAACAGCTAAAAARGTGGACTTTTCAGGATATGTTCCCTCAAAACTTTAGATAACTAAATCAGTCAAACCACTGATGAGCTTTAAAATAAACTGAATTTCATTTGTCTTTCCTGTCCTCTGTTTTTGTCCCTCGTCCCGCCCAGCTGTCTCTGGGACTTGGAGACAGGCAAGCAGAAGACCGTCTACACCAACCACATTGGGGACTGCATGTCTCTGGCTCTGTCCCCGGACATGAAGTACTTCATCTCCGGAGCCTGCGACTCTCTGGCCAAGCTGTGGGACCTGAGGGAGGGGTCCTGCAAGCAGACCTTCTCCGGACACACCAGTGACATCAACGCCATCTCTGTGAGGACACACACACACACACACACACACGCATGCAATGCGCACCAGAAATACCAGAACCTGTCTGTCAGATCTGGATGAGAACATAAGTGGAAGAACTAAAGGATGGCATGCTTTTATTTTGAAAAAAAAAAAACTGCATTTTAAATCTCTTTTCTATCATTGAAACCCTGAACTGTGTCTTCAGTTCTTCCACAGCGGGAACGCCATCATCACAGGCTCCGACGACTGCTCCTGCAAGATGTATGACCTGCGCTCCGACCAGGAGGTCCTCTCCTACACCGACCCCACCCTGAACGCCGGCGTCACGTCCTTGGCCCTCTCCAACTCGGGCCGCCTTATCTTTGCAGGTTACGACGACTTCAACTGCCACATCTGGGACTCACTGAAGGGAGAGAAAGTCGGTGAGTGGTTTTTATTCTCAAATYAAGACAAAAATGTGTTTTTGAGTGTTAAAAATGTGCATTTAAACCAAAATAAAAATAAATTTTAATTTATTCAAGGTGAGAGATGTGAAAAAATTCTCCCACCAGTTTTTTTTWAAATCTCCTTTCTTTTTGTGTCTCTCCTCTTTTATTCGCCTATTATCTCTCCCTGTTTTTCCCACCTTTTCTCCTCCCTCCAGGTGTTCTCTCCGGCCACGACAACAGGGTGAGCTGCACCGGTGTCCCTGCAGATGGGATGGGGGTCTGCACAGGGTCCTGGGACAGCTTCCTCAAACTGTGGAACTGAGACGTTTCAGGAGAAGAAAAAAAACTCCAGAAGAAAAGAGGAGGAGGAAGAGAAGAAGGAGAGGGAGGAGGGATGAAAACATGAAAAAGGAGAGAAGAGAAGGAAGAGAGGATGTGTGAGAGATAACTTCATCTCTTCCTCTTCCTCGCTGTGAAAGAGCCACCTTGAAAAGGCCTCGTCCTGCTGAATGTACAGAAGAGCTTCACTGCTGAGTCAAATTCTGAAACAAATTCCTAAAAAAAAAACAGTACTTAAAATCAACAAAGCAAAAAATACAAT